TACGAGTAAGCAACATGTATCATTGGCAAATGGATGGAAGATTAAAGCATCAGGTGAAGGTACTGCATATTGTTCTTGTATAAACAAACATTTAACTATGTTATATGTACCTAAACTGAAATTTAATTTGCTATCAGTAAGGGCGTTAGTTAATCTTGGTTATGTAGTAACCTTTAGGGAAGATAACTGTATAATAGAGAACGAGGGTAAAAGTGTTACTGCTACTTTAAAGAATGATTTATGTATGATACATGGTGACCAGTTGCAGATGGCTAACTCAGTTTATAATAATGTTAAGCCACATGATGAATGTATACATTTACTGCATAGACGTCTGGGGCACATTAATTTCAAAATGCTCAAACGAACTGTTGAATTGTCAGAGGGAATAAAATTGAAACCCTGTAACAAGTAGTAAATTTAAAGTAGTAAATTTAAACTGTAATGCTTGTAGTAAGGAGAAGTGTAAGGTTATTCCTGCAAACAGACTTAATGGGTTTAAGACCAAAGAACCTTTAGAGGTTGTGTTTGCTGACATAATTGGTTCTAAAAAAACAAGTTTAGGAGGTGCCTGCTATATTTTGAGTATTATGGACCATTACTCACGATATGGTTTCTGCTATCTTATGAAAAACAAAACAAAAACATAGCAACATTTCTTTCACTGGCTAAGGTTTACTGAGAAAAAAAAAGAAAAGTAAAGTAATTACTTTAGTTACTGATAATAGGACTGAATTCATTAATAAAAGATTCCAAACAATGCTGAAATTGGCTGGTGTTGAGCATAAATGTTGTGCACCTTACAGACCACAACATAACTCATTTGTAGAATGAAGAGGGCAAACATGACAAGCCATGGCTTGCACTATGTTATCTGATTCAGGTTTACCTGAAACACTGTGGGGTGAGGCCATAATATGTAGCAACCATGTTTTAAACAATGTAGTTAATACAACAACTGGAAATTTGCCATTGACTCATTAGCATGGCAGAAAGCCAAATTTAAGTTACCTACACACATTTGGAGCTCCAGCATTGGTGCATATTTCCTCACAAGTAAGTCTGAAAGGGCAACATAGAGCTAAGAAGTTATTTTTCGTAGGTTATGAGGCCAACCATAGATTGTTTAGATCCTGAGATCAAGGCACAGCTCATGTTTATTGTAGTGCTAGTGCAAAATTTCTTGAGCATGTTGGGTGGGATAAACTGGAACAGGAATACAGCAATGATATTATTATTGACACCCAAATAGTCCCTAATGATAAAATAAGTAAACCAAGAACAGCCATTAAAGAAAAAGAACAGGAGGAAGTAGTAGAACAGGCACAGGAGGAGATAGAAGAACAGAAGCAGGTGGCACAGGTGAGTCCACCAGTAAGCCCTCTATTACCAGAACGTACAACCTGAGTAACACAACCACATGATAGATATCAGGCTAGTGTTGTATGCCAAGTGAATACAGGTCTAAGTAATTATAATAAACTAAAACTGTATCCTGCTAAGGATCAGACTGCTTGACAGAAAGCAATGTATAAGGAACTGGAATCATTAAAAAGACTGGAGGTATACGAAAATGTCAGGTTACCACCAGGTAAACATGCCATAGGATGTAAATGGATATATAAGCTAAAAATAGGTGTGGATGGGACTGTTACCCATAAAGCCAGGTTAGTAGTAGAAGGGTTCAATCAGACAGCAAATGACTATGATGAGGTGTTTGCACCTAGTCTGAATGCTACTACATTAAGGGCAGTGTTAGTGTAGGCAGTTAAGGAGAAAATCATTTGTAAATCATTGTAAATCATTGTAATTGTTGTAAATCATTTGGATGTAGAGACGGCACATCTGCATGCACCGTTGCAACACACTATATATTTAAAGAAACCATTAGGTATCAAAAATGATAATACTGATAATAATGATTGCTGGAGATTGAAAAAGAGTCTTTATGGTTTGAAGCAATCAGGATATG